TTTCATCCTGTGGCATAGCTTCGTGCATGAAGTTGCCCCCAATTAACAAGACATTGAGGTTCCTTAAGCTCTTGAGTATGTGAAGAGTATTTTTGATATCTGTAAAATTGTTGTAGGAAAGAGATAAGAAGGTGATAGAATTCAGATTCCGTATGTTTTTTGTCAACTGGCCGTGAAGCCTATTGGAAGATAGCCGCAACCAAGTCAAATTACTACATGAGTATATGCTTTCTGGAATTGTGCCGGTGAAGTGATTCGAGGCAAAATCTAATGTTTTCAGATTGGGTAGATTGGAGTAGTTAACCTTGGCAAGCTCACCCGTCAACTTGTTTCTCCTGAGGTTGATGGTTACTAGATTTGTGCAATCTCCCAATGATGATGGCAGCTCTCCAGATAAGTTGTTGCTGCAAATGTGAAGCTCCTCTAGTCTTTTCAACTAGCCTATAGAATTTGGGATCTTGCCACTGAATCTATTCCATCGAAGATCAACAAAAACAAGATTGATGAGCTTTACGATGAGAGCATCATCAATTGTTCCTTGCAACCCATTGTTAGCGAAAGAGAGGTACTCCAATGATGTGGCATTGAAGAGATCACCTGGGAGAGGCCCTCTGATGTTGTTGGCATTAGCCTTGAGAAGTCTAAGGGCAGAACATTTACCTATTCCAGGGGGGATGTTGCCACTGAACTGGTTGTACCCAAGATCAAGAACAGCAAAAGATGTCGAGCTGCTGCAGAAGGAGGAAGGTATGTGCCCTGTAAAACTGTTGTTGCTCGCGTTGATTGCGACCAGGTTCCTCATTTTCTCCCATGTGATGGATGGAAACTCTCCTGTAAACCGGTTGCTTGAGATATTCAGTACCTTCAGTGGCTGGTTAGATACTGATGGATTCAACTCTTGCAGGTCCCCGTTGAGGCGATTGAAGCTGACATCAAGGACGACGATGCTGCCAGAGGACATCAACTCTGCTGGAAGGCTACCAGATAGGGAGTTGTACGACAGGTTGAGGCGCGACAAGCTGGTGAGCTCTCCCAGTGACGGTGAGATTTGCCCTTCGAGGCCTTTTGAGGCTAGATGTACCTCAATTACAGCCCCATCTTCGTTGCAGGTGATGCCTTCCCACAACAGCAGTCCATGCCATTCTGCCATGACATGGCGATGCCACCGTCTTGCGACAGCTCAGCAATGAACCGGAGGAGGGAGCTCTTCTCCTGCTCGACGCAAGCCATGGCGGAGGTGGCCACGATGAGAAGCAGCAGTAGCGAGGCCATTGAAAGGCATGACTAGCCTGCTTCTCCACGGAGAATGCTGTGCCATCTGCATGATCTCTCTCATCGGAGCTGCGTTTGGAGTTATATGTGGCAATCTGGAAGCTAAAATGTTCGCGAAAACGACACTGTTTCAGGATAATAATGCACATGGCTGCTTTCTTGATCTATTGCGTTTGAGTCTTTCTATCACATTGTTTATCTTTATTGTTTTCATTCTATCACTGGTAGTGATGTGACTCATTCTATCACATTGTTTATCTTTATTGTTTTCATTCTCGTTTCAGTTTATATATATAGTAGAGGTCCCCGCCTTCCCGGTTTGAGTTTTTGTTCCTAGTTCTCTGTCGTTTTACTCTGAAATTTCAACAATTTTGTGTGAAATGTTTCATGTTAAGAACTCAGATTCCGTTTGTGGTCGATTCCAGTCTAATTCAGTTGTGTATTAAATTACCACATCTGCTTGCGCTGGCAATTCATGTTTGCAACGTGCATTGCTACTTTGTACAATTGCATCCCTTATATTAAGTTCGAATTTGTGCTTACATTAACTTTGCGTTTTCACTTACCTTTCACTTTCAACTTTTGCCTCTGAATAATTTTGTTCACTTGTTCGGCTAGTTGTCTCGTATGAACTGGAACTGGCAGAATTTTAACATTGAGATGATTGAAATCTGTGGTTTGTTCGGAGAGAACGCTGTGGTCACGCGGCCTCTTCACCACGCCGCCAGGCTGGGACCGCGGCCGCCGTCGATCTCCACTCTTTAGCCACCGCCTGGGCGTCTCTGGCCACCGCCTGAGCATCTTCGCACCGACTAGATAAGAGATAAGTAAAGTGGAGATACTCGCTAGGTCCCATATCGTCTTTTGTCACGTTGACGTGTCGCATGAGCAAAAGTAGCAAGCACTATCTCCATTTCATGTTATAAGTCACTTTATTTTTTTTTCTAATTCATTTTTTTAGTTTGATTAAGTTTATAGAAAAATACATCAATATTTTTATATAAAAATAAAGAAATTACCAAAATATATTCAATGTTGTATTCAATAAAACTAATTTAGTGCTATAGTTGTTATATTTTTCTATAAACTTTTAAGAAATTAGAGTTTAAAAAATCAAACGACTTATAATACTCCCTCCGTCCCTAAATATAAGGGATTTTGGGTGGATGGGACGTATCCTGGTACTACGAACCTGGAGATGCTCCTATCTAGATTCGTAGTACTGGGATACGTCATATCCAACCAAAATCCCTTATATTTACGGACGGAGGGAGTATGGAACAGAGGAAATAATTAAAAAGTTATCTATTAAGAGGGGAAAATAGGATCAAATCTAAAAATAGCATTTGAATAATTAGTGGTAAATAATTAAGTCTCCCCAAAGATTGGTTGTAGTCTTGTAGAGACCATGCCAGATTGCCAGGATGCCGATGGATGCCGGGCCGTGCGCTCTAGCTCCCGGAGATTTGGCCGGCCCTCCCTCGGAAACGGAAACAGTAAAAAAAAATACGAATGATATCGGAAATAGTTTGATAGTTTACTAACCATTTTATTCGGCTACCATATTATTCCGGTAATTAGGGATGAAAACAGTCAGAAATGATCGGAAATGGTACATTATTTTATTTTATTTTTTGAAAATGAACGGAAATGGTCGGGAAATTTTGATATTTATGAATTCATCTATTTAGTGCCAACTTCAATGCCACGCTGACAGAAATTAAAAAACTAAATTTTGAAAACGGTAACCATCGGTAAAAATATTATTATTATACTAGTTTTACGGAAACGGTATCGATATGGTCGGGAAATTTCCATACCGTTTTCACCCCTACCGGTAATTGCTGTTTATATATTATATGGTAAATTACAGTTTTTACAAACATCCTTGACCGGCTGGCCCAAATTATTTTTCTATGGCCCATTCTTTCAGCCCAACTATCCTAGTCCACCACTATAACTCATGTTTGTGTATCTCGTATTGTTATGTTATAGCTTTATGAACTTACACTTATATGTCAATGGATTTATATTTATCATCGAATACTTTAACATTATCGGTTATCAATTTGTCATAAAAAAATCACAAATCACAAATTCTAAAAAGAAATTGCACATCTCAATGGAATCACAAATTGTAAAAAAAAAAAAAAAAAGAATCGGCCGCTGGCCGCCTGCCGCCGTCGGTCACGGCCCCGCTAGCCGGCCGCCTGCCCGCCGCTGCGCATGGGCCCGCCTGTCGCTGCCGGTCGTGGCCCCGCCGGTGGGCCGCCTGCCCGCCACCGCGCGTGGGCCCGCCTGCTGCCGCCGGCCGCCGCTGTTGCCATGACACGCACAGATGGGAGGGGAGAAGGGGGAGGAGAGGGGAGGAGGACGAGGAGGGGAGGAGGAGGAGGAAAGGGATCTGGATCTGGATCTGAGGGGATGATTCAATCTTATATCTAGCTACGTATCTCGGTGAGGAGTCCGTTGGGACTTAACCGATCGGATCGACGATTGTGGGAGAGAGATATTTACTTCCGGTTGATAACTCCAATCGGGACTAAAGATGGATTTTTAGTTCTGATCTCTGCCGCCTTGACATCCTCTGACACAACTAGAACCAGGACTATTGTGAATTTTGGACAACCCGGCAAAGATCACTTCTCCAATAGTGATATCGGATGGCTATGATTTCTTACCGATGTTTCTACAAATATCCAAGAGAGAAAGCAGGGTACATGGCAGTAAGGGGCAATCCAAAGGAGTCCTAGGAGCTGTATATCAAATTCAATTCTATATTGTTTGTATGATACGACTGTAATTATGAAAAATCGAAGCTACAAGTTCTACATCAAGTTCTATTCTGCTTTAAAAATCTAGCTCCGTGTAAAATTGTATGGGACGGTCGAAAATAGCAGAAAAAAAAAAGGAATGACACCAAATTTCAAAACCAATAAATACAGAGTACGTAGGTAGTCTAGATGAACCTGGGAGGAGATACGTGTTGTATTTGTAAGTTTGAGTTGGTCGAAAGGAAACACATTTGATAGATCTTGTTCGACGGAAATCCTAATTAATTATAACGCTCTTGACTGACGGTCACGGTCGCGCTTAACGTTATCAGTATAAACGAATTCCTATAAAAAAATAGGAAGTTTAATCATTAGCTATACCAGCCAGTTGAAAGTTTCATTAATTTCGGCGTGTTGAATTGAAAATTCAGTAATAGTAGGAAGTTTCCAATATTGATCATTTTCTTGAATGAAAAGCTAGCTTCTTAAAGAAAGTTTTAGTCTAAGTACACATAGTTGAATTTTTTTTTTGATATTACACATAGTTGAATTAGTATATATAGAAGCACACTGACAAAAACGAGACGTACAGAAAATCCGAGAAAATCTTTAAGGTGTGTTTAGTTTCACGTTAAAATTGAAAGTTTGAAGAAAAAAGTTGAAAGTTTACGTATGTAGAAAAATTTTGATGTGATGGAAAAATTGAAAGTTTGAAGAAAAATTTAGGAACTAAACAAGCGGTAAGCTATGAAGAAATTTGGCCACTAAAAAACAATTCAAGGGGGCTGGTTTTTTGCAACGCGCTCGCGGAAGATGTCTCCGCGGATGTTTGCGTGCTAATTAATTAAGTATATTAAGGTTGACGGACCCGGTACGTATATGCGTGTTCGTACGTTTGCTATATATATACGGCCACACAGGCGAAGCTATATATATTCACTGCATATATCCGTACGTACACAAGACCACTGCAATCACACCACCACAAGGTCCCAATAACCCTAGCTAGCCAGCCTGCATTTCGATCAAGCTATTCAATTCGCACAAGGCCAATCGATCGATCGATCATAGTCCTAGTTTCTGCATGATGATGATGCAGCTCCTCCTAGTGATCATCATATTGTCCACAGTGATGATCTCCTCGTCCGATGCTTATTATCAATCATGCAGATGCTTGGGTGATGGCAAGAACAACCAGACTTCCTGTGATCAAGCGATCGACGACTCCATCAAAGGTTCAGGTCCGTCTTTTTTTGCAGCAAAATTCTCTCTCCAACCAAACCAGTAGTACACTCATTGGGGCAACCCTTTGCAGGGCAGCTAATTTTTCGACGCATACAGCCGCCGATCACTAGCGTCGCCTTTAATGTGAGCTTCATCGGAAGCCTCGCCTTCATCCTCCGCCCAGTCCCAGCTGGAGGAGAATATAGCAATAATAGCGATGCCTATGGCTCCCTCGTGTTCTCCGGCAACACTTATAATAAAACGACGACGATTATTACTCATTCTGACTGCTGCAGCACTGGCGACAGTAGTTCCAACGTTTTTGTTAAGATGGGTGCATTAAAAAATGTTTCTACCTTTGGTGTAAACATTACAATCTCACGGAAGGCCTCCAATATTCAAATAGTACAAGGGAACAACTACACCATATCTGTATGGATTGATTACAATCGTGCAGCTGAAGCTGCAGATCGCAGCATATCGGTCTTCGTTGCCAAGGCAAGAGAGACGAAACCTAAGGAAGCCATAATCGTCAACAAGGACGACAATATCAGCAAAGGCGCAACCCTGCAAGGCTGCATCTTCTCGTCGATGGACCTGCAACGACTCCATCAGATCAGTGACATGGATGTGACATTCGCCTATGGCCAACATGTTAGCCATAGCCCATCGAGGTCGTTGCCGACCATACTGGCATCAGTTCTCGGACCAGCAGGCGGTGCAGTCATTGCTGCAGCTGTGACATGGTTATACTTCAACTCCTCCTACAGGAGGTGGAAGAAGGACTTCGATCAGCTGGCCAAGTCCATGCAAAGCCTCCCCGGGGTTCCTGTCAAGATCAGCTTCGCCGATATCCGCAAGGCCACCAACAACTTCCATGACACCATGAAGCTGGGCAGCGGCGCATTTGGCGCCGTCTACAGATGCAAGCTCCAGTCCTTGAACTTGAAGGAGCAACCGGTGGAGGTAGCAGTCAAGAAGTTTACACGTGCCGACACCCGGTCCTACCAAGACTTTCTCGCCGAGGTCAGCATCATCAATCGTCTGCGCCACAAGAGTATTGTCCCTCTCATCAGTTAGTCTCCTCCAATTCTTGTACAGTTTAATTTTCTATTTGTCAATCGCCTAATTTTTCATATTTATCGGTCTCCTAATCTAAATTTGCGATCCTAGCTAGCTACTCCCTCCATTTCATAATATAAGACTTTCTAGCATATGTGTCTAGATTCACTAACATCTATATTAATGTGGACAATGCTAGAAAGTTTTACATTATGAAACGGAGGAAGTAGTTGTTAGTTTTGTCGTTAAATATACGTTTCCATACATACATACATTTCATTTTGTGACAACAAGTTGACACATATAAATTATTATATATAGGTTGGTCATACAACAAAGGAGAGCCCCTACTTATCTATGAGTACATGCCCAATGGTAGCTTAGACAGGCACATATTCGCTAGAACTGACCAGCTGCATGGTGGCCACCATACAACGATCCGGCAATGGGACACCCGCTACAACATTGTCAGGGATATTGCCACCGGCTTGCACTACGTTCATCACGAGTATGAGCCCAAGGTGCTCCACCGCGACATCAAGGCTAGCAACATCCTGCTTGACTCCACCTTCCGTGCCCGCCTTGGTGACTTTGGTCTCGCCTGCACCGTCGCCGTCGGCCGGAGCTCCGTCTCGTGTGGTGTCGCAGGAACATTCGGCTACATCGCCCCGGACTACGCAATTAACCTGAAAGCAACGCAGCAGACTGACGTCTATGCGTTTGGGGTGCTGGTTCTTGAGATTGTTACTGGCAAGAAGGCGATGCTGAATGACGCACAATTTGGCCATATCACAGATTGGGTCTGGCATCTCCACCAACGGGGGAGGCTCCTTGAAGCTGTAGATGGCGTGCTTGGCACTGCCGGCCATGGTGAGTTCGATATCGAAGAGGCAAGACGCTTGCTTCTTCTAGGCTTGGCGTGCAGCAACCCGAACCCGTCGGACCGGCCAACGATGGTGGTGGCGGTGCAGGTGATTGCAAAATTAGCACCGGCACCGGATGTGCCACTTGAGAAGCCGACTGTTGTGTGCTTTCCTCCTCTAACTTTGCCAGTAGGGTCTTCATCATCTGAATGCACTGATTATTACGTCACGGCAAAGGGTAGTCTGCAGATCAAGAGCTCAATGGTATAGACAGCTAGCATGCATCCCCATAGGATTGCAGGTATATATGAATTCTGAAAGCAGCTGAGAATGTGAGTGTTGATTGTATTTGTATTCAGTAACTTGCTAGTTACTTTATCTCGTCCCCTTAGATCTGTTTTAGCATTGTGCAGAAATATCATTTTGTTATACTCGCTCTGTTTGTAAATTTGTTTGGTGCTCCATGGTGCCCGGGCTCCATGATTCAAAACAAGTTTGAACTGAATTTAAACATGTTTTTATTACAATTTTATTCTAGGTATATAGCATCCAAACATATAATTAGTTAGGTATGTAATATTGAATTGTAAAATAAAGTTAAATTTGAGTTGCTTTGTTGCTAGGTATAGATATGAATCGAATACTTATAACTAGGTATATACTCACAATTTAAAAATTTTGAAAAATTTGGGCGAATATGTGTATTTCATACCATAGTGCCCTATATGAGTGTCCTATATATAGTGTGTGTGTAAATCTCTACTATTATAAAAATTGATAATGTTTCCGTTGGATCTTTAGTACGTTGTTCGTATTTAAAAAATACAGTGTTTCTACCAAGGTGTGAAAAACCGCCGGTAACCGCGCGGTTACCGCGGTTACCGCCCGTACCGCGGGGGTACGGTTACCCGTACCGCGCGGTACGGTTTAATAAAATTCGTCCAAATTCAAAAATTTAAAAAAAAAAGAAAAAAATCAAAAAAAATAGTGAAGGTAGTGCTTGATTTATAGTGTTTTATGGTGAAGAAATTTCTCAAAAAAGAGTAATATTTATTTAAATTTGAGAGCAAAACGGAGAATAAATTTGAAAATTGGAAAAAGAAAAAAAAATGGGCCGGCCCGTTACTGTGCAACCCATTACACATCGCGCGGTAACCGCGCCAAACCGCGTGGTTACCGCGTCAAACCGCGCCAAACCGCGCGGTTTGCCCGAATTTTTGAATTCAAATTTCGATTTGTAAATTTGTCGCGGTTTTGCGCGGTTACCGCCGGTAACCGCCGTACCGCCGGGTGGCGGTAACCGGGCCCCCGGCGGTTTTTGAAACCCTGACTTTCTACCCTCCTCAGATTTCTATCCGTCTCTCCTAATTTTAGTCAGTTTTCCACGCGTTGGCTCTGTTCAGATCGCTCTCCCATGTGCGTGACACATGTTGGCCCTGTTCAGGTCGCTCTTCCACGTGTGTGACATTGGATTGATATGCGCTTCTGCGCGCATGACATTAGATCGACACTTGTTGTGTATGTTTCCAATCGGTTCGTTTGCAACGCATAGTTTCATGGTTAGCCAGACACGACCGCATCAACAAATACAGCCCAAGTCCTATGCAATAACGATTGTATAGATCAAAGGCAATATTTCTAAATAAATAATAATAATCTCATAAAAACCAGAATATATTTTTATAGTATCTATAAAATTTCCAATCTTTTTAAATATTAGCAAGCCTTTTTAAATTTTATAGATACTTTAAAATATATTCTAGTTTTTATGAGATTATTATTATTTATTTAGATATATATATATATAGACACACACTACACATAGGATGTAGCATGCCTAAAACACACCCCACAATACACCAGCCCGCACCCCCCCTCCCCAACCGCACAGTGCGGACCCCCCACCCCCCGGGGCGGCGCTCCTCGGATAGTAATTCGATTACTGTCAACTGTACGTGTTATTTATACTACTCGGTGGCCCAACCGTCCCTACTTCTTCCCCGCGCTCTCCATTATTTTCGGATCTAGCCCTCGCGTACACCGTAGTTAGCCAAGCCGCTCCGCCTCGTTTCCATCGCCGCCACCACCGCCTCCCCGTCCGCCTGCCGCCGCCGCCGTGTGGGAGGGGATGCCAGACTTGGGAGGTGACGGCGACGAAGTAGAGAAGGCGCCCACCCTCTCCCCTGCGGCTGTGGCTTGTGCTCGGGGATGGATGCGGCGACGGGCGACGGCGACGGACTGCGGCAATGGCGAGCGACGGGCTCGGCAGGGCTGTCCCCCGCTCGAATCCGGTGACGACGGTCGTCCTCCGCCCGGATCCAGTGGTGGCGGGCGTCCCTCGCCTGACCTCGGACGGATCCACCGGCGGCGGTGGGAGGAAAGCAGCGTGCGGCAGGCCACCTTGCAGTCCTCTCCTCCTCTTCCTCCTCCCGCTTCTTCCTGCCCGCTGCCGTCATCATGGTTGTCCTCCACCAGCTCTCCGCGTGGCCGCCGCCGTCCGCCGATGGACGTCGACTCTGACCTGGCCGACAAGGGCAAGCCCACCCAGATGGACCTCGAGGACCAGGTACGCCGAAGCCGCTCGACTCGTCCCCACAGGAATTCTTCTTTCAGTTTTTTATTGTGACTGCCTAAGCTTGGAGAGCATCTCAATTTCCGTTGAAACACTTCAGGGAAGCATTTAGCTCTGAGATTTCATGAGACTTCCATCTATTATCCTACCAAACTTCTGGCTGGTTCGTTAGTTCTATGTGATCTGGATTTGGTTTGTGTAACACTAACATCCATTGATATTCTGAATTTTTCAGGCTTCTATACATCTACAGGTTTCTGTAATTGATAGGTTAACAAGCTTTTCTAATTTATTTATTTTTTGGTGATTGTTGCTTTTGCTGGATCAAGCATCATGAGTGAATAGTCCTGATAGCCGAGTTTTTTTTTTTTTTTGCAACGCATGAAGAACCATATGCTCTCATTTTAATTTTCATTTGTTCAGTCATGAATTGTTTGTGCAATATATTCAGAAAAGTGCTCCCATCTGAATTTCATTTGTTCAGTGATATATTTGTGTGTGCAATATTTGGAAAACTGCCAATAGCATCATCATCAGGTTCTCTGATATTTTTTATAAATGAAAACTCTAGAAGCTTGATTCAATAGCAGTTCACTGAAATTTTGTGGTTCAACAGAGCATATCAATTGATTTTCTCTGAACTGCTCTCTACATATGATCCTTTTGATCATAGTTTTTCGCTGAATATTTTGGTTGAACAAAGCAGTTGTAGTCCCCTATGAGCTTTTTTCTGCTGTAGATGTAGTTCATGTTCTGATTTTTTTTTTGTTGATGAACAGATTTCTCAATTTTGGTCTACTTGATTTTTCATCCATAGACTACAGGAATGCTCTGAATTTGTGGAGTTTTCTGCACCTCAGCTGACGATCATGGGGGAGGCTGCAACCCCAGCGAGGCAGGAGGATGTTTTCCAGGTGGCGGGTCACGCCTCGTCGATAGCATAGATCACACATGGGCAGAGGAAGCTGTGGATAGCATGATGGGTCTGCTAGCTGCAAGGTTCGTTGGGTTGCAGCTGAGCTATGCATTTTTTTAGCTCCTTTTATTTTTCTCAAGCAATTATCTTTGTGGTTCAACAAAGCAGATCGATACATGTTTTCCTCAACTGCTCAATGCATATGGTCCCTTTGATTAGGTTCTTGATTTTCTTGTAAAAATGCGTACAACCTGTCAATCCATTGAATTTTCTGCAATTTTATGGTTCAACAGAGCATATGGATTCATTTTTCTGAAGCACTCACTGCATATGGTCATGTTGATATGGGTCTTGATTTTGTTCTACAATTGTGTAGAATCTGTCGATCCATCGAATTCTTTTTGATACTGCTCTTGATTTTGTACAGTTCATTGGGTGGAGCTTTCTCTTGGGGGGTGCTTTTGCCTGCCATGGTAAGGCCAGCAAGATGGGATGAGGCTTCAGCTGGCTAGTGGGGATGGAGATGAAATCAGAAATCAGGATTTACTGTCTTTTGTAGTTAATAATCAGCGTCGTCGGCCCTGATCTACATTTGCTATATTAGTGCTGGCATCGATCGGTATCGGCATATGTATTAGCGGGTGGTGTTGATTTGATTTTGTTTATTAGTTTTGTGTTTTTCTGCCGATGTATCATTGCGTGCATTATCAGATTGTTGATGTAACACCGACACTGGATCAAACAATTCATGTTTGTAAAGAAATTATTAAATTGTGGTTAGGTTAATAATATGAATCATAATCTTTTACCTTCATTTGTTTTGTCACTAAATACTCCAGCGGCTTTGTGCAATCTGCAATATATTTACTCCAGTATCAGGAGTAACTTATTTTACTAAGAGAAGTCCAATGACGTGCAAATATTAATTTATTTACTAAGAGAAGATTTGCAAACCAATTAGAGTACTAATATACTAAGTAATTTATAATTACTTACTAAGAGAAGAGCTGAGAACGATCTGAGAGTAATTTATTTACTGAAAGGAGGAATCTTCCCAAATAATCTAGGAGTAATTCATTTACTAAGAGAAGAAATCAATTTGGAAGTGCGGAAGTGTTAGTAACTTATTTACTCTTAGGCCGAAAGACACAGTAATCTTGTTACTAATAGGCAAATCACCAAAAAAAGTGTTTGATAGTACTTAACGAAAGAATTTTTTGGAGAGAGAGGGATGAGGAGTTTGTGCGGGATGGATGTGCGTGGGGTGATGCGGGGGGGGGGGGGGGGGGGGGAAGGGGGGTGGGGTGGGTGGGTGGGTGGGTTGGGGGGGGGGAGGGGTGCTGAGGGGAGCGTTTTAGTTGTAACGCACCCTGGGTGCGGTTTAGCGCGTCCCTATAGTGGACAGTGTGATAATAAAAAATATCTTTATTTTGTTGCTCTATTTACAAACTAAACTTAGACTTTTTTTAACAACTTTAAAAGAAATGTATTGCTAAAAATGGCATCAATTGGAATATTTAGTTCACGTCAAAATTAGAAGTTTGATTGAAATTGGAACTATGTGACGGAAAAGTTGGAAGTTTGTGTATGTAGAAAAGTTCTGATGTGATGGAAAAGTTGGAACTAAACCAGGCCTCATATTTTAAGAATGAGGCCTGATTTAGTTCTCAACTTTTTCCTCAAACTTTCAACTTTTCCATCACATTAAAACTTTTCTACACACACAAACTTCCAACTTTTCTGTCACAAACATTTCAATTTCAATCAAACTTCCAATTTTATTGTGAACTAAACACACCCTGCGTTAGAATCAACTATACATTGTTAGAGACAAATGGAGCTTCTAGCAAAAGCTACATCTGCTAGATATAACGTGTCAATTTTCTGAGCTCATCTCATTATTACCAATGCTAACGAATTGGTAGTTTTCATTTTGGTCCTTCTTTCATCATCGCGATTTTTGTCTACGGGCTTACGGCCAGGAATTTTACAACGTAGCCCCTGTGTTAGCTTGGAACTCCGTCTCCCGCCGCTCGCCGCTCCGCCGCCGCCGTCGCCCGTTGCTCGCCGCCGCCGGGGGGGGGGGGGGGGTCCTCGTCATGGACCTCATCTCCGCCATACCCACCGCCACCTTCTAACTAACCAGCGGGAGCTGCCAGCGAAGCGAGAGGGCGGCGCCGCGGCGAGCAGCGGAAGCCTCGAGGTTAGCCATGTCTTCTTCCCCCTCCTGATTTGCGCCGTGGCCAGGAAGAGGGAAATCCCCCCGAATCGAAACCCCCGCAGTCGGCCGATGAGCAGCTCGCGCAAATCAATCGCGTCGTTGTTTCTCTCTGCAGCTGCCTCGTAGAAGGAAGGAAAGGATTGTGCAGAGTAGCTGCTTGATCGGTTCATGTCAGATTTGGGATGTGGCTGCATGAGTTTTTTCTGCTACGATTTCTGACATTTCTCAATGCAGTGTTGCTGTTTCACCAGTTGCAGATTTGTGATCCCCTCATGGCACATTGCAGAGAAAATTGTTGAAAAGTAATAAGAGTATGTTTACATTCACGTGTAATATTGTCAAGATTCATTTACTAACGTATTTCAAGTTTACATCAGTTCACTTCTGTTCCTTCTGATTTTCTACTTTCTGGAGCAGACTATATTAAATGGATTTTACCAACAGATCACGAGCTGGTCAAATCAGGTTTGCCTGGGGTATTCATCCTGCTGGGGCTGGAGCCACTGAATCGGCCTTGCTGAATTGAAATTTGAAAACCAATCAAGATCACCACACAGTTAAGATGGTTATAGTAATTACAAAGTCGCGGCTGTTGCTTGCTTGTTTCAGTTCTATGACCCATTGCATATCTACAAGCCATTAATCCAGTACACGTTATTGACTATCTCTATCGTGATCAGTTCAACCGAAAATATCTGGATAGAACTATCTGATCATATAGCACTCCTACTCCAAAGAATACACAAAAAGCAATCACAAAGATGACCTTGTTGATGTACTCTTTTGTTGAGTTTGGGGAAGACAAATCTACTTCTGCTACATTGCAACGGTGCAAAAGTATCGGGCTGCATAGCTCTGGGTTTCCAGCAAAACTAGAACTTGGAAATGTGCTGAACTGGCCTCCAATTGGTACAGACCCTTTTAGATCATTGTGGGAAACATTGAATTCAGAAAGGAAGTGAAGGTTCACCAGTGCTGGAGGGATTGCACCTGTCAGATGGTTGTATGACAGGTCTAGAACCATCAGATTCTTGAGGTTGCTGATCGATTGTGGGATCTCCCTGTTTAGGTTGTTGAAGCTCAAGTTGAGTGAAACGAGTGCTTTCAACTCACCAATCTCCATCGGGATCGCACCAGTGAATTTGTTATTACCTAGATTCAACATTTTAGGGAAAGCAGTAACTGTACGGTACTGAAAACACAGACATGCGCCTGCATACACTGGAAACGGAAAGGCTCTTGGGTCTGAGTTATCTGCAATCTTATCTGATTTTAGCATTGGTATCTCCATTAGTGCTTGTGGTATTTCTCCTGAAAGGCTATTATTGGATATGTCTGCATACTTAAGGAAGTTTAGGCTATTGATCCAGGTTGGTATAGGTCCCCTGAGTTTATTGTTGGATAAATCTAAAACTGCCAAATTTCCGAGCTTTGAGAGCCAACTAGGTATTTTTCCAGTCAATGCACAATCATGTATGCTAATACCAAAAATATTCTCGAAACCATCAATTGTTTCATCCTGTGGCATAGCTTCGTGCATGAAGTTGCCCCCAATTAACAAGACATTGAGGTTCCTTAAGCTCTTGAGTATGTGAAGAGTATTTTTGATATTTGTAAAATTGTTGTAGGAAAGAGATAAGAAGGTGATAGAATTCAGATTCTGTATGTTCTTTGTCAACTGGCCGTGAAGCCTATTGGAAGATAGCCGCAACCAAGTCAAATTACTACATGAGTATATGCTTTCTGGAATTTTGCCGGTGAAGTGATTCGAGGCAAAATCTAATGTTTTCAGATTGGGTAGATTGGAGTAGTTAACCTTGGCAAGCTCACCCGTCAACTTGTTTCCCCTGAGGTTGATGGTTACTAGTTTTGTGCAATCTCCCAATGATGATGGCAGCTCTCCAGATAAGTTGTTGCTGCAAATGTGAAGCTCCTTTAGTCTTTTCAACTGGCCTATAGAATTTGGGATCTTGCCACTGAATCTATTCCATCCAAGATCAACAAAAACAAGATTGATGAGCTTTACGATGAGAGCATCATCAATTGTTCCTTGCAATCCATTGTTAGCGAAAGAGAGGTACTCCAATGATGTGGCATTGAAGAGATCACCTGGGAGAGGCCCTCTGATGTTGTTGGCATTAGCCTTGAGAAGTCTAAGGGCAGAACATTTACCTATTCCAGGGGGGATGTTGCCACTGAACTGGTTGTACCCAAGATCAAGAACAGCAAAAGATGGCGAATTGCTGCAGAAGGAGGAAGGTATGTGCCCGGTAAAACTGTTGTTGCTCGCGTTGATTGCGACCAGGTTCCTCATTTTCTCCCATGTGATGGATGGAAATTCTCCTGTAAACCGGTTGCTTGAGATATTCAGTACCTGCAGTGGCCTGTCAGATACTGATGGATTCAACTCTTGCAGGTCCCCGTTGAGGCGATTGAAGCTGACATCAAGGACGACAATGCTGCCAGAAGACATCAGCTCTGCTGGAAGGCCGCCAGATAGGGAGTTGTACGACAGGTTGAGGCGCGACAAGCTGGTGAGCTCTCCCAGCGACGGTGCGATTTGCCCTTCAAGGCCTTTAGAGGTGAGACGAACCTCAATGACAGCCCCATCTTCATTGCAGGTGATGCCCTCCCACACACAGCAGTTCGTGCCATTCTGCCATGACATGGCGATGCCACCGTCATGCGACAGCTCAGCAAGGAACTGGAGGAGAGAACTCTTCTCCTGCTCGACGCAAGCCATGGCGGAGGTGGCCACGATGAGAAGCAGCAGCAATAATGCAGCAGTAGCGAGGCCAGAGTACGGCATCGCTAGCCTGCTTCTCCACGGAGAATGTGGTGTCATCTGCATGAACTCTCTCATCCCAGCAAGTGTTTGGAGTTGAATGTGGCAATCTGGCAGCTAAAATGCTCGCGAAAACGGCACTGTTTCAGGAGCATAATGCACATGGTTGCCTTGTTGACCTAGCGCGTTTGAGTCTTTGCGACTGGCATATTTGAGTGTACGTGGTAGTGATGTGCCATACCGCTGGCGCTATCTATCACATTTTGTGGCCTATTGACTAAATGAGACAGCTGGAGTACTCATGGGCCACACTGCTATTCTATCACACTATTTCCGTTTATTGTTTTATTCTCGTTTCAGTTTGTATAGTAGAGGTCCCCGTCTTCCCAGTTTGTATAGTTCTCTGTCGTTTTACTCTGAAATTTCAACGATTTAGTGTGAAATGTTTCATGCTAAGAACGCAGGTTCCGTCTGATGTCGATTCCAGTCTAGTTCACATCTGCTTGCGATGGCAATTTATGTTTGCAATGTGCATTGCTACTTTGCACAATTGCATCCCTTATGTTAAGTTCGAATTTGTGCTTAGATTAACCCTGCGTTTTCACTTACCTTTTCACTTTCAACTTTGGCCTCTGAATATTAGTATATAATCAATTGTTCGGTTAGTTGTCTCGTATGAACTGGAGCAGCAGAATTTTAACATTGAGATGATTGAAATCTGTGGTTTGTTCGGAGAGGACGCTGTGGTCCCTGTCAGTCTTCACCGCGCCCCCAGGCTGTGACCGCTGCGGCCGTCGATCTCCACTCTAGCCAGGGAGGAAGAGACCGGTGGAGACTGGAGAGACTCACTAGGTCCCATATAGTTTTTTGTCACGTTGATATATGTCCATGAGCAAAAGTAGCAAATACTCCACTATTTTCGATTTATGTAAATCACTTTGATTTTTTTCAAAGTCAAACTTTTTAGTTCAATTAAGTTTATAGAAAAATATAACAATATTTTTATATAAAATAAATAAATTACCAAAATATATTCAATATTGAATTTAATAAAACTAATTTAATGCTATATTTTTCTATAAACTTACTCAAACTTTTAAGAAAATAGACTTTAAAAACTTAAAACATGAAACACAGAAAATAGTTAAGAAGTCATCTATTAAGAGGGGGAAAATAAGACCAAATCTAAAAATGGCATTTGAATAATTACCTTTACTAAAATAATTAGAGAGTAAAATACATGGCCAGTTCTTAAACTTGAGCAGAGGTGTCACATTTTGTGAGTTCGGCCAGGGGAAAAGGCTCGCCTCTGGAAGTCACGTATCCGCCCCGAAAGCTACCAGCTAGTGTGCACACAACAAGATTATACAGGTTCGGGCCGCTATGAAGTGTAATACCCTACTCCTGTGTATGGGATTTAGACTGAAAGTTACAAAGGTCCCTAAGCTCCAGAAAGCGCTCTTGCTTCCCTTCTCCTAGAGCTTAGGTTTTCTGAGAGTCGTCCCTTTTCTCGGTGGGCAAGGTCCTCCTTTTATACCTCAAGGGGATACCACATGCACCGACTCTACCTACTCTTCTCTTGGGTGGGGGCCCACCCTACCTTGACCGGATCTCGACCCGTGCCTTCGCCTGGAAGCTAAGCCACGGTTTGTCCTTGAGTGGGGCCCAGCGCCGTCCCATGCCTGACACGGGGGACAACCCTGTCATTCCCCCATTAATGGATGAAGAATTGTGGTGGCCGCCCTCTCGTGGGGAGGACTTCGAATGACCCCTCCGATGGGACAGGTTATACCTACCTCCACTCCGCCAGGGGCAGATGTGACGTGGGGGCACAGCTGTCCGTCCAGTCAGATGTGACCGGCGACAGGCCGGTCACAGACCGGTCATTCCTGACCGTCGCGCGCCAGTCGGGCACGCCGCACGTCTGCCCCTACTGCATTGAATGCGGCAGGGGGCAGTTGGGGCGCTGCGCGCATTAAAGGAGGTTCAGCTTGGGCCCCCTCCCCACTTGCTCCCCCCGCCAGATGGCGGCTGGGCGAAGGCCTCGGGGCAAAGCGGTGCGAGGGCCCGAGGGGCATGACGTGGCACCCCGAGGCCTCCTGGCTGCTCCTGCGATTCGCGGGGTGCGGGGGTAGGGCCAAGCTGTAGGGTCGCGCGGCAGGATGGGAAAGTAAATTCCCCTCACTTCGCATACCCCCGGTCCCATATCTCCGACACACATAGATCCGTAAACTTGATAGTTGCGCATTGAGATCCATGATCTTGTTTTAATACACCATAGTCGGTCAAAAGTGCATTTGACCAAAGGTGACCATCTACGTGGCGCTCCACGCCTCCACGTAGGTAACATTTTGCATCTTGCCCCCTCCGCATCTTGACATGACGGTAATTTTGTACTTACCCCCCTATTGCTACAGTAATCACCGAAATCCCCCAAATCTTAATGAGTGTCATGTACTAAAGCATCAAATCCCCCAAACTTACTTCTAGAGTTACCTCTCTGACTAACAATTCTTGTACATGTATGACAAGAGCTCTCTAGACGCTTAACGGCTTAAGTACTTCAGTACCATCACCGCAGGATGAAACCGTTGATAATTGATTGGTCAAAAACTAGCAGTACACCATTTCTTTGCGTGGAAAAAAGACTAGCCGCAGTTTTGGCGTCTCCAAATGACACAATTATAATCAACCTACACAATCCACAATGCCCCATCGGGACGTTCCAGTAGTGGTCTATTGGCAAGTCAACTGCTCGATCTCCGTTACCGTAAGTAATTCTCTTTTGCAGCCGCCCGTAATTTTTGACCTTATCACATTGACATTGTTACAACATGCCTTAATTTACTTGATCGGGCATGACTTCTCTTACCGCCTTCACGACGGACCTCTTCTCTTCGCTTGCCATTATTTCGGACAAAGTTTTACTTAAGGTGTTGAATAAACTAATGTATAAAAGGACTAAAATACTCTTAAGAGGATATTGTATAGAGAAAATTCCCTATATACCCCTGACAATTTACTCAATCCCTTCAATACCCCTGAATTTGACATCATCCCTTATATACCCCTGAGTTTTCATTTTGATCTCCTCTATACCCATCTCCGTTAGTTGACAATTAGTTGACCGTTAAATATTTTAAAATGACTATATTACCCATCCTATATATATGTGGTACCTACCCAATAAATATTCATATGAAAAAATTAACTTATACAAAATAAAAGCAATATAATCATTTAATGCCCAACTTAAAAAATAAAACTTATTATTTTTTATTTTTAAAAAATTATGATTAAATCCATACATTAGTTTCACCAGAAAATTAAGAGCAAAAACTAAATGTTATTTAGGTTTAAATTTTTGGGAAGATATACAAAATTCATGAAATTTGATCTTAAATTTATTTAAAAATTTTAAATTTGTTTTCTAATTTGTGATAAACTAATTACATCCCCTTTGTTTTTTCACAATGAATCTTTTTTCACTAAATATTTGTTGAAAAGTAATTTTCAAATTTTATGCAGAACTTTTTTTACAATAAATCTTTTTTATTTTAATGAAATAATGTTTTATTTTTAAAAATTCATAAAAAATATTTAGTAATTTATTCCTTATTGGTTTTCACAATTCAAATAATTTACACATAAAACATTTCTAGCTTTTAACAATATACCAAGGACAATAAAGTAATTTCCACAATAACTAACGGTCAAACTAATGGTCAATTAACGGAATGGGTATGTAAGGGATCCAAATAAAAACTTAGGGGTATATAAGAGATTAAACAAATTACAGGGGCGTAGAAGGGATTGGGTGAAATTACATGGGCATGTAGGGAATTGGCCCTATTGTATATGGAGTATATAGTAAATCAAGGATAAAGATGTAATTTTCCGTTGCATATGAATAAAAGGAACCCTCCAAGGACAAGAGAGGGGGATCTCTCCCCCATTCCACTCATTCTCATCCTTACTCATTCACTCTCATGGTCCCCACGAGGCCAAGCTTAAGGTTTCCTCCCATTGGAGGGATGACTCAGCCATGTATGTTGGATTTTGCAACAACAACAAGGGTTGAAGTTGTGCTGCATCGATTTCCTATGTTTGAGAAAGAAAAACAATTGCTGGATTTTGCAGGATTCACTTGGAGAGATAGTTCATAGTACTACATGGAATCAAAGCATCATTCGAAGAAAGTGGATATGATTTACATCAATCATCATGCATTGGTGTTGTGGTCAAGGTGAGTGGAGGGACCAAAACTGGTGGAGTGGTGCTCTCTTCTTCTGGTTGAAAGGACTGGTTAAAAGGAGGGATTGTGTGCAGCAGCTGCTTGACTGATTCATTCACGCCCCATTTTTTGAGATTTGGGATGTGATTACATGAGCTTTGCTAGTGTCTAACATTGTTGTTTTGAACATTGTACTCCTGCGTTTCATAACATAAGTCGTTTGATTTTTTTTTTAAGTCAAACTTCTTTAAATTTAACTAAATTTAGAAAAATATACTAATATTTTTAATATAAAACAAACATATTATAAAAATATATTTGATATTAAATTTAATAAAATTAATTTGGTATTGCAGATATTGCTAGTTTTTTTTAGAAAATTTGGTCAAATCTACTCCAGCGGGAGACGGCCTGCTAAACTTTGACCAAAATAAGGCCGGGCCCAGTTAAGGTCCAATCTGCCAGGCACCCTCCCTCCCCGCGGCCGGCGCCGCCGCCGCCGCCGCCGCGCCATGCCCGCCGGTGCTCCCCGACTCCGGTCGCCGAATCGAGCCCGCTCTCCCGCCCGGCCTGATCCCTCGCGCTCACCGTAGAATCATTTCCGCGCCAATGCGCGATCTTCTGTTCCTGCCTGCCGCTCTAGGATAACCGTCTCCACTTCCATTTGGGAAACCCTAGAAGTTTATGCGGATACGGCCGACGGCCTCGGATGATCCAGTGATCTGCTGTCCAGAGGTAAATCGAGCAAATCCATAGCCAAGCTCCTATTTCTCCACCAAAGTTTCAGGGAAAATCTTGCAATTTTTCGCGACAAATTTATTGTTAGGTTAGCTTTAGTTTGCTCCACATTTTGCCCTTGGATTTCAAAGCTTAAACACAGTTGAACCGAACTGACCAAGATATAGATCATCTCGGCTTTATTAACTGCTGCTGCAGTAGTTATGTGCTCACTTTGTAATCCAACCATCCAATTGTTCAATTGCTGCTAATTAAAGTGCCAATTTTTGCAGAAATAAAAGACTGAAGGATTTCGGCCTAGCTGTTCTGCATGCAGAAAACCATATCTGTAGTTTTTTCATGAGAGATCCCCAGTTATTGCTAGTGTAGTAGTGTTGATTATATTCCATCTGTAATATAATTTACCAGACCAAAAAACATTAACTACCGAAGTACTAGCATTATTTCTGAGGGAGCAAATAACAAGCCTCCTTCAGGAGGCTTTTGGAAGAAATTGATAAAAAAAAACAAACCAAGGTAAATACTGAAAATAAAATTACAATGTGTTCCGACAAGATTGATTTATTGACACAACTTTGGCGCTTCCGTTCAAAAGTCTTACATAAGTGCATTATGTAAATTTTATATCTGCAAAAAGGTGGCTTCTCTTAACACACAAACACCTTCCAATTTAATCTCTCTGCTTATGTACTTGAATGACAGGTATGCTGCATTCAGTTATTGCTGTTGATTGATCTGGCTTAAGCTTGGGCTATAAGAAATCATCAGACCATGGCCGGAGATAGTGACAGCTATCATTGTGTCACAGGTCTTGGTTGGTTTGCGACCTAACTGAAGTAGAGCTAGAAAAACCTTGATAGGACAATCTGATCATATAACACCCCTACAGCAAAGAATGCACCAAAGGAAATCATAAAGACAAATGATGATACAACCTTGTCAGCATTTTGTTTTGTGGAGACAAATGGTGTTTGTGCTAAACCACAATGGCGTGCAAGCATAGGACCACACAACTTTGGGTTCCCATCAAAGCTAGTACTTGGGAATGTGCTAAGCTGTCCTGCATTTGGAACTGGCCCTTCAAGGTCATTGTTAGAAATGTTGAATGCTGAAAGGAAGTGAAGTTTGTTCAGCCCATCAGGAATTGTACCAGTGAGATTATTGCTGGACAAATCAAGCACCTGTAGGTTTGTGAGCTTGTAGATTGATTCTGGTATCTCTCCAGACAATCTGTTGGAACTCAAATTGAGTAACTGGAGTGCCTTCAACTGACCAATCTCATTCGGGATGATGCCAGTGAAATTATTGATGCCTAGATTCAGCACTTTAGGGAATGCACTGTTTATTCGGTATTGAAGTGCATAACCTGTACAGATAGGCAGCTCAAAGACCTTTGGTGGAACATTATCTGATTTTAGCATTGGCATCTCAACTAAGGCTGATGGAATTTCCCCTGAAAGGCTGTTGTTTGAAATGTCTATATGGAACAAGAAGTTTAGGCTGCTGATCCAGTCAGGTATTGCTCCGTTTAGTTGATTGTTATATAAAGATAGCATCTCCAGATTTGTGAGCTTTGATAACCATTTAGGTATTTTTCCAGACAATGAACAATCGTTCAGGGAAAAAATCCGAAGATTCTCAAAACCATAAATCTCGTCATCCTCTGGCATGGTCTCTTGCATGAAGTTGTACCCAATAAGCAAGGTGGTCAGGTTCCTGCAGCTCTGAAGTATCTGAAGTGAACCTGTGATATTTGTAAGAGAGATGTCAACAAGTGATACAAATGAGAGGCACTTCAGATTGCGGATTTTCTCCGAGAGCTGGCCATGGAAGCTATTGTTAGACAGCTGCAATGCACTTAGATTTCTGCATGAGTAGATGCTTTCTGGCACTGTTCCGGTGAAATTGTTCGACATAAGATCTAAGGACTGTAAATTGCGTAATGTGGAGAAGTTGACATTGCCAAGATCTCCTGAAAAGTTGTTGCCCCCGAGGTTCATGTTCTTAAGATTTCTGCAATTTCCTACAGTTGATGGCAACTCCCCGGACATGCTGTTGTATGCCAAATGGAGCTTCTCCAGTCTCTTAAGCTGACCTATCGAATTTGGGATACTTCCACTAAGCCTGTTTTGTCCAAGATCAATGGTCACTAGATTTTTAAGCTTGGTGATGCCTTTGATTGATCCTTCTAACTGGTTTCTAAGAAAACAGAGGTGCTTCAAAGAGGTCAGATCAAATAGCTCGTCTGGAAGAGTCCCGGTGAGGTTGTTGTAGCTAGCGCTCAGAAGTGTCAGCTTGGAGCAATTGCTGAGCCCCGCAGGGATTCTTCCACTGAATTGGTTATAGCTGAGTTCAAGCACAGCAAAAGATGGCGCGCTGGCACAGAACGAGGTTGGCATCTGCCCAGTAAATCTGTTGTTGCTGGCATTAAGCACAACCAGATTGTTCATCCTCTCCCATGTGGTTGATGGAAAATTCCCTGTAAACAAGTTGCTCGAGATGTTCAATACCTGCAGCGGCCGGTCAGGGGTTGAAGATGGCAGCTCACTCAGTCCTCCTGTTAAGTAGTTAAAACTGACATCAAGGACCACAATGCTGCTGGATGACACCAGTTCCAGCGGTAAGCCACCGGACAACGAGTTGCGGGACAAGTTCAGCCTCAGTAAACCGGTGAGGTCGCCGAGGGATGGTGAGATGCTCCCTTCAAGGCCTCTTGATGCCAGAGAGATCACCTCGACCACCGCTCCGTTTCCGCTGCAGGTGATGCCTTCCCAGGTGCAGCAGTCTGTGCCGTTTTGCCATGACACACCAAGGCCGCCATCGTTCGATAGCCCGGAGAGGAACTGGAGGAGAGATTCCCTCTCCTGCTCGGTGCATGAACCGGCATGACAGACGAAGCAAAGCAGGAGTAGCAGCAGAGCTTGGCCGAAGGGAGGCATGCAGAATCTGCTATTATCTCGGTTGCTGCTTGAAGAGAGCTGTCTTGGCATTGGCTTCATTATTGCTATTTTTCTTGAAAACTATCACTGGTTTGTGGGTTTGATTTTGCAGGATAGGCAGGTTAGTGTGCAAGTGCAAAACAGCAAAAGAATAAAGTTCTTGAGCAAATATATTGCCGAATCTTTCAGTCAAAAAAATATATATTGCCGAATCTTTCCGTCAAAAAATATATGTTGCCGAATCAGACACGAAGGACAGTAACTCAAGTAGATGAGGATAAAGATGAAGATTAAGTGATTTACGTAAAACAAGGTGGTATTAATGTATAATTAATTGAGTTTGAAAAATTTATCTGATATTTTAGAGTAACTTACATATAGAAAGTTTTTGTACGAAATGTACCGTTTAGCAGTTTGAAAAGCGTACCACGGATATCCAAATTTTCATTCAACTTTTGTTGGAGAAAAGAACGGGGCTTCTTGGAACAGGATAGATGAGCTATTGTTGACCCAAGACCCATGCGTTTACTTGTTGCTGCTACGGTAGTTCGGAGAAATTCTTATAACAAGGAATCGTATTCAAATACATGTAACTAAGGAGTAGTTATCAGTACTAACTTTTCAAATACTTCAGTGGAAGCGTGTTTGAGGGATGTCCCGGAAGGATTTGAACCCGTTTTTGTCTGGCTTTGGTCTTATGCTTAGGTTTATATTACTAGTACTAAGTCGCACTGTTTGACAGGAATGGTTGCACTTGAAATGGCTTGAGTAGTTGTTGACTTGTTGTTCATACACTTGGCTTTGGCTGCTTGAGTAGTTGTTGTTCATACACTTGGCTTTGACTGCTTGATGAGAGACAAATAGGAGTGATTCCTTGTTCCTTTGAGTACAATAGATCATCAAAAGTCTGCTATTTTTCTTTTAGTGAGTCCTTGTTCCTTTGAGTACAACAGTACACCAAGTCTGCTATTTTTCTTTTGATGATCTATTCTACTCGCCTACTCGGATGTACTATCAGTGGTCCCGTTCTTTTCTTCAACAAGAGTTGGATGAAGATTAAGATTTTCGTGGCACGTTTTTCAAACTGCTAAACGGTGTGTTTCGTGCAAAAATTTTCTATATGAAAGTTGCTTTAAAATATCATATCAATCTATTTTTCACGTTTGTAATAATTAAAACTCAATCAATCATACGTTAATATTACCTCGTTTTGCGTAAAAAACTTAATCTTCATCTCCATCTTCATTTTCAGAAGAAAAGAGCACCAAAGCAGTTGTGTTTGACTATCATACCGCTAGTTTGGTGCGAAATGTTGTGCTTGCATTGCATCAGCTTATCAGTCCGGAACCAAAATTTAAATTTTCTCTACTATCATAAAATGTAGAGTCGTCCTCCATCCGTCCTCTTCCACAGCGTGCAGCGAATCCGCACGCGTAGTGTATGTAATCGCCGTATCCAATATTTTATCATCCAATTATACTTATAGTCTTTCTATTTATATGGGTCTGGCTCGTTATAATATAGGAGTATGTTACTAGTAAAACTTAATTTTAGAGTTGATTTTATGTTTTTTATCATAGTTTATTTTTTAGCATCAACTTTTAAGTCGCTAAGAACATATGTATAAAAGTTTTGACCTCAAATTTTTTAGGTCCAATAAGCGTTACACTGAAACGATGTGTATGGGAATGTGCATGGGATTCGATGATCTTCCCTTGCACAATTGCTCCTCATTCAGACTTTCGGAGTGGGCACACCGATGAAAGCATGACTGGCTGCCTTTCAGTGACAAATCACTGAATGTTTGAAGATTTTCAGCATTTCTCCCTTTCACCCGCAATCAGCCTTTCCTCCAACAATTGAACTGAAATGCGTCTACTAGGTGACAAGCCTCGACAAGCACAAAAACTGATCTAACACCACCCCTACTCCAAACAAGAGGCCCATCTGTCTTTTGAACTTGGACAAGTTTCGATTTTTCAAGAACATGAATCTTTTAAAAAAAAGGTGAATATTAGGGAATGGCCTAATATCAAATAAATAGAAGCGTTGAGGCTTTGAACCCATACCAGCTAGCCCACCAACTTGTGCAGCTAGCTGGAAAACCCCTAGGCATTTCTCACATGGATCTTTTGATATGGTGGAAATCTCTTATGATGATCAATCATCCACGCCTTAAACGTATCCTAATGCCTGAAAGTTGGATAGACCGGAGTGCCACGACAGTATGGCGGCCCAGTGAAGTTGTCATCAGAGATGAAGCTGACGAATGAACTGAGGTGCATCTAGCCGAGAAACCTCGACAAGCACAACTGATCTAACAACACCCCTACTCCAAAGAAGGCACCAAATGCAATCACAAAGATGACCTTGTAACCTCCTTGTCTGCTGGAACCTTGAGGTGAATCTACCATTACTGGATCATCACAATCTTGATCTAGTATATGGCCGCATAGCCTCGGATTTCCATCGAAGCTGGATCTTGGGAATGTATCCAGGTGTCCTCCAGTTGGAACAGGCCCTTGCAAGTCATTGTTGGAGACGTTGAGTGCAGAGAGGAAGTTCAGGTTGTTCAGGTCAGCTGGAATTGTACCAGTGAGATGGTTGTTGGACAGGTCTAGTATTTCCAGGTTTGTAAGATCAAGGATTGTTTCTGGAATCTCTCCATGTAGGTTGTTGTAGCCCAGAATGAGTGAGAGTAGTGCCTTCAACTGACCAATCTCTGTTGGGATCACACCTGTTAATTTGTTGTTTTCCAGAATCATCACTGCAGGGAAATCACTGACAGTGAAGTACTTAGGTGATGGACCAGTGTAAACAGGCAGCTCAAAGATCTTTATGTCCAAATGAGATGTAACCATTTCTGATCTTAGCATTGGCATCTCTGTTAACTCTGCTGGGATTTCCCCTGAAAGGCTGTTGTTTGATAAATCTAGATAGAATAGGGAGTTTAAGGTGCTGATCCAAACCGGTATTGATCCACTTAAATGATTGTTAAACAAGAATAGCATCTCCAGATTCTTGAGTTTTGATATCCAAATAGGTATATTTCCAAACAGTGGACAGTTTTCCATAGCAAGAACCTTAAGATTCTCAAAACCATCAACTGTTTTGTCGTCTGAAATTTCCTCATCCCTAAAGTTGCCTCCAATAAGCAAGGTGGTGAGATCTCTAGAGCTCTTGAGGATTTGAAGTGTATTTGAAATATTTGTAAAAGAGTTTTCAGCAAGTGATAGGTAGGTTAGTGACTTGAGGTTGGTTATTCTGAATGAGAGCTGACCATGGAACTTGTTAAACGATAGTTGCAATGCATTCAGGTTGCTACATGTGTAGACACTCTCAGGAATTGTGCCAGCGAAGCTGTTATATGAGACATGCAAAGATTTTAGACTAGACAGTTTGGAGAAGTTGACCTTGCCAAGCTCTCCACTGAAGTTGTTGCTCCCAAGATTTAATGCTTTGAGATTCGTGCAGCTGCCTATAGCTGGTGTCAGCTCCCCTGCCATGCTGTTGTGGTGCAAGTGAATCTCCTCCAGCCTCTTGAGCTTCCCAATGGAATCAGGGATGTTGCCACTGAACATATTGAATCCAAGATCAAGGACAACCAAATTCCTGAGCTTGATCATGCCTGCACCATCAAGAACTCCCTGTAAACCATTGTTAGGAAAAGAGAGGTGCTCCAGCGAGGTCACATTGAAGAGTTCATCAGGGAGAGTCCCTCTGAGGCTGTTGTGGCCAGCCTTTAGCAATCTTAACGAAGAACAGTTACCGATCTCCGGCGGCAAATTGCCACTGAAATGGTTGTAAGAGAGATCGAGCATGGCAAAGGAGGACGATCTGATGCAGAAGAAGGTTGGCATCGGCCCAGTGAAACTGTTGTTGCTGGCGTTGAGCACAACCAGATTCTCCATCTCCTCCCATGAGCTGAACGGAAACCGTCCTGAAAACGAGTTGCTGGAGACGTTGATCACCTGAATGCGGCGACCGGAAGCCGAAGACGACGGCGAATCTTGCAGGTCTCCATTGAGGAGGTTGAAGCTGATGTCAAGGATGACGATGCTGTCTGACGACATTATTTCTGCAGGTAATCCACCGGACAGTGAGTTGTGCGACAGGTTCAGACGCTGCAAACCTGGTAGCCTGCCAAGAGCAGGTGATATGCTGCCTTCGAGTTTCTTGGAGGCCAGCAAGATGTCTGTGATTGTGACGGCCTTGCTGGCCGTGCTGCTGCTGCAGGTGATGCCTTCCCATGAGCAGCAGTCTGTGCCTTGCGGCCACGATGCGGCAAGGCCACCATGGCCGTCTTGCGAGAGCCCAGCCAAGAACTGGAGGAGACAGTTTCTCTCATGGTCTGTGCAGCAGCTGATGGAAGATGCAGAGAAAAGGATCAGCGCAAGAACGAGGCAGAGAGTAGGCATGGTCAATTTGTTGTAGTTGCTGCTGCTGCTGGATATGAAGAAACTTTTGGAATTGATGGAATGAAATGCATATGGTTGTCTACTGCAATCATCAAGAAGAACATGTGTTCAAGCTTAAATGCTTAGGAAAAATATCAATCGAGAGAAACGAGTACCAGTCAAGACTCAAGAGTCCTCACAGACAAGGTAGCAGTCAAGAGTCAAGACTTGGATGCTCCTCTGGTCACATCCATATGTGGATCTTTCGCTTAATTCATCGTTTCTTTTGTCTTTTCCATCATTTCTCTGCTACTGCAAGAAGACCAGTTTTAGTTGCAGTGAAATCAAAGTGTGAATCAGTGGGGAGAAAACGATTTCAGTCGTCTGATTCTGAAAATCATAATGGTTCAGTTCAGTACACCCGTAGCTTGCAGAGATTGGATTTTAAACTCTCGGATGTCCCCTCATAATTTGCATGTCACTTAAATAATTGTGAAAAGAATTTAAAAGTATTGAAAATATGTATTAACATGCGATATATCACTTCACAAACATACAACTTAAAATTCAACTTCTACATGTTGCAATGAAAAAAAAACAAATTTTACCACAGGCATCAAATGCCGGTGCCGACACAATCCCGAAGAGAACAGAAGAGAAGAGGGTCCCACTCATCACAACATTCAAAACTGGTCATTATACTGAGAAGGATTATAGTTGGCACGGTATTATGGCCGTGTTTAATTACAAAATTTTTCTTCAAACTTCTAATTTTTCCATCACATCAAAACTTTTCTACACACACAAACTTCCAACTTTTCCGTCACATCGTTCCAATTTCAACCAAAATTTCGATTTTGGTGTAAACTAAACACAACCTATGAGTTGGGAGATGGGCTATAACTTGTATTTAAGTTCATGGATGAATTTCAGACTTGGCAATAAATGGAGGGAGCTAAAGTGAACTTATTTCCTGGGCATTTCGATTCATATGCAGCCCATTTCGATTTCCTGGGGCAATCTATTATCTATTGTATTATCAAAGGAATAGAAAAAGGAGCCTCCACGTTCGCTCTCATGGTTTAGAAATTCTCACATTAATCAGAGAAAAAGAAAAAACAGAGTCCATATAGAAATACAATTTAGAAATAGATGAAATTCGGAATTAAAAATAAGGAATATTAGAAGTAGCGTATAGAGTCCATATAGAAATACAATTAGGAAATAACTGAAATTCGGAATTAAAAATAAGAAATATTAGAAGTAGAATATAGAGTCCATATAGAAATACAATTAGGAAATAATAGAAATTTGGAATTAAAAATAAGGAATATTAGAAGTAGAGTATAGAGTCCATATAGAAATACAATTAAGAAATAATAGAAATTTGAAATTAAAAATAAGGAATATTAGAAGTAGAGTATAGAGTCCATATAGAAATACAATTAAGAAGATAAATAGAAATTCGAAATTAAAAAATAAGGAATATTAGAAGTAGAGTACAAAATCCATATAGGAATTTAAAACTAACTAAAATTTAGAATAAACATAATAAAATTAAAAGTAGAGTTTAGAGTCCGTATAAAAATACAATTTACAAATAACTAAAATTCGAAATTAAGAAAAACATGATAAGAAGAGTTTAAAGTCAATATAGGAATACAATTTAGAAGTAACTGAAATTCGAAATTAAAAATTAAAGAATATTAGAAGATGAGTTTAGAGTCCACGTAGAAATACAATTAGAAATAATAAAAATTCAGAAATAAAAATAAATAATATTTGTCGACGTTTAATGTCGCGATTCCGGTATTTGCATAGTATGGGGATCGTTGGTATTAGGATATATGCGAGACTGAGGTAAAAGAGATGGAGACAGGGATTTTTATACAGGTTCGGGCCCCTGAATTGTCAGGTAATAACCCTACTCCTGTTGGCCAAAGTCGTTCGTTGCTTATTCACCATAATCACACCAGTACAATATTTGGGGTAGCCTATCTAACTGTTGTCGACATGGCGGTCTGAAGTATTATCACGTAGTCGACAACAGTGTAGTCTTCCTCCTCGAGTTCATGCCCAGCGAGATCAGAGACAGCGTTAGATCCCTACAGCCGGCCTCCGTAGGTACCGGATAGGGTCGGTCCAGGCATATCTCTGATGTTGATATCCGGCGTCTTGTCTTGGCGTATGTTGGCTTGTGTCTTGATCTATTGTTCCGTGTCCCCTCTTCTCCTAGGGGGCCTTGTATTTATACACATAGGTGTTCCCTTGTCCAAGTAGAACTAGGGAGACCAATATGGATATAATCCGAGTAGTCCTTGTCATTTTCATGTAAAACTCTGGTTGTCTTTTCTTATCCGGAACTTCATCCATATCCGAGGTCAGTGTCCGTATAATACATGGTATGTGGTGGGTCTTGTCGAGATTTAGTCAACTACTATTAGGTATGTGGTATCCATAACCCTGACAATATTGGAAGAAGAGCATAGAGTCTATATAGAAATACAATTTACAAAAAATTCAAAATTAAAAAAAAAGAAATATTAAAAGACGAATCTATAGCCCATATAGGAATATATATAATTTACAAATAACTAAAATTTTATATTGAAAATAATTAATAACTAACACGTATATAAAATATAATAAAATATAATATTAATATTACGCATCATTAGTTTTGTAAAGTTATTGTAAAATTTAAAATTATGATGTCATTTCAATGCTAACCGCGCAATTTGATTGCGCGAAACATCATGCTAGTTGAGTATTGAAAGCCGAAAGGCCCAACCAGAAAACATTTCCCACAGGCGTCTGTCTCCTCCTCCTCCTCGTCGTCTCCACGGCGACAGCGCCGCCGCTTCTCGGTCGCCGGCGCACCCGCCGTCTCTTCGGCCGGCGGGGGCTCTCGAGGAAGGCTTCCGCGCCGCCATCAGTACCCCGAATCGGGTACGCACTTCGCAACGCGCGGCCATCTCTTCTCTATTACTACTCTTCCCTGCGTGTGAATCTGAACAGGACGAGTTACTCTTATTATTATTATTATTTCTTATCGGTTTACCTCAATCTTTTGTACAATGCTGATGATAATAAAACTAGTAGCACATGATTCTCAAATTGTACATCCTTTCTCAAAGTACAAATGATTTTGACGAATTCAAGTACTGACCATCTTTCAGAATGCTCATTCTGCACACCTGAGTTGTGTCAACTGAATGATGGTCTTTAACTAAGTAGGTAAATTTATTGACCCAAATCATCTTATGCTCATATCATAATTGAAGAAACCCTAGCCTGGATAGTAACATCTGATCTAACAGCACACCAAGTGCAAAGAACAAGCCCACTGTGATGCCAAAGATGTTGACACTGAAGTTATCTGTGTAAAATGCAGGCGTGGGAATAGCTTTTGCTGAATTACACTGGCGACTGATCATAGGACCACATAGCTTTGGATTACCATCAAAGCTTGAATTATCAAATGTATCGAACTGGCCTCCAGTTGGAATAGGTCCTTCCAGGTCATTGTTGGAAACATTGAATGCAGAAAGGAAGTGTAGCTTGCTCAGTTGTAAAGGGATTGTACCTGTTAGATTGTTGTTAGACAAGTCTAGCATCTCCAGGTCGGTGAGCTTGCAAATTGCTTGTGGGATTTCCCCAGAGAAACTATTGTAGCTCAAATCAAGCATATCGAGTGCCTTCAGCTGACCAATCTCTGGAGGGATCACACCTGTAAAGCCATTTCTGCCTATATTTAGCGTTGCTGGTCCCATCAGTAATTGATGCCTTGAACCGCTGCAAACAATTATTTTAGAGACCCTTTCATTTAGAATGGATACCATCTTCTTTGATTTAAGCACTGGCAACTGTATTAATGTTGTTAGAATTTCCCCTGTAAAATTATTATTTGTTATGTCTAGATGGAAGAGGAAGTTGAGGTTTTTGATCCATACAGGTACTGATCCAGTTAATTGGTTGTCGTATAAATGCAACTTCTCCAAATTTGTGAGCTTCGATAGCCAGACAGGCATTTTTCCATACAACGAGGACCCACTTATTGAGAAATGCTGTAGATTTTCAAAACCATCAATTGTTTCATCCTCTGGCAATACCTCATTCTTGAAGTTCCCTCCAATAAGTAGCATTTTTAAGTTCCTGAAGGTCTTGAAGATGTGAAGTGCAGTTCTGATATTAGTAAAAGCATTATCAGCAACTGATAAGAAGACGAGAGACCTCAGTCTGTTCATTGTCTGTGAGAACTCCCCATGAAAATTGTTCCTTGCAATTCTCAGGACAATCAAATTGGTGCATGCATAAATGCTTTCTGGAACTGTACCACTGAAGTTGTTCACAAGAAGATCAATTGTCGTTAGATTAGATAGGCTGGAAAAGTCGATTTTGCCAAGGTCTCCACTGAGGTTATTGAACTTGAGGTCAAGGATTTTGAGATTTGTGCAGTTGCCTAGAGTTGATGGCAGCTCCCCATACAACTTGTTCTCACCCAAACGGAGTTCCTTCAATCTCTTGAGCTGACCTATGGATTTGGGTATTTTACCACTAAACATATTCTGTTCGAGATCAAGGATTGACAGTTTGCTGAGTTTTATAATATTGGCATCATCAAGTACTCCATTAAGAAAATTGTCTGGGAAAGAAAGGTACTCCAACGATGAAGCGTTGAATAGTTCATCTGGGAGAGCACCATGGAAGTTGTTGTGACCACCCTTGAGCACTCTAAGCGTGGAGCAATTGCTTATGTCTAGGGGTATGCTGCCACCAAATTGATTGAAAGAGAGGTCGAGCACAGCAAAGGATGGTGCATTGATGCACAAAGAACTCAGTATCTGTCCTACAAAGCTGTTGTTGCTGGCATTAAGAGCCACCAGATTGTTCATCACCTTCCATGTGGTGGATGGAAATTGCCCTGCAAACAAGTTGCTTGAAATGTTCAGTACCTGCAGAGGCCGGATAGTTGTATGAGCTGAGAGCTCTTTCAAAGCTCCACTCAAGTGATTGAAGCTGACATCAAGGATGACGATGCTGCTCGACGACACCAACTCCTCCAATGGAAGTTCACCGGACAGCGAATTGTGTGACAGGTTCAGGTGGAGAAGGCCAGTGAGGTTGGCAAGGTATGGGGAGATTTGCCCTTCAAGGCCCTTAGAAGCCAGCGAAATTTCGGTGATCGTTGCATCTGTGCCGCAGGTGATCCCTTCCCATGTGCAGCAATCCGTGTCATTCTGCCATGACGGCGAGGCCACCGTCCTCCGAGAGGCCAGCGAGGAACTGGAGGAGGAAGCTCTTCTCCTGATCTGTGCAGGAGCCGGTGGAAGAGGCTAAACACAGTAGTAGCACAACAACAAACCCAAGTAAATCGGTGGGTAATTTGCTGCTGCTTCTGCTGCATGGAAACTGGGAAGGTCTCATGATGGATCTTTTTTTTATCAGATTGAGTATAGTCTGGAACTCTGGATAAATCAATATGCAGTAGTGGGCATTATAAGGCCAGAAACTTTTTTGGGTTGGGAGGGAAGTACTCGTACCAGAGAGGGAGGCAGAACCGCCGTCGAGGGAGCCCTCGCCGGAGCCCCGAGACGGGGACTGCCGATCGCTGGTAAACGCACCTATTTGCGTGGGCCGAAGCCCAGCCTAGTGGGCCAATCAGTAAACCTGGTTCAACTTGCAAAGGATGGTAAAAATAGGTGGTGTAAAGTGAAAAAAGTGACCCACCCCTAGCCCAATGTGCAACTTAGATCAATATAAGTGGTCTAAAGTGAAATTTACTCTTTATATTATATAAGACACTTTGACTTTTTTTTCTTAAACTATTTAAAATTTGACTAAATTTATAGAAACACAACAACATTTTTAACACCAAACAAATATGGTATAAAAATATACCAAAAACTAATTGGTGTTATAAGAGTAGTTATATTTATATACCTCTATAATTTTGATTTAGAAAAAAAATAAAATGCTTATAATATGAAGAGGGTGTAGTGCTTAGGTTCCAGAATCCAGCTAGGAACTGGAGCAGGTACCGAGGCATCAGCACAAGAAATATGGATAGTTTGTGGCTGCTGGACTGCTGGTGCTGGATGAATAATTATTTTTCCCCTGGAAAAGGACATTGGTTTGGTCACATCCATGTGATTTTTTTTTTCAAAATTGTACTTTACTGCGTTTAATTTTTTTTGGGCGAAAACTAACACGGTTGATATGGATTGTTTTTTTTTCTCTCTTCAAAACAGTACTTTATTGCGCTTGATTTTTTTTTGGCAAAAACTAACACGGTTAATATGATATGGAGTGCTTGCGGTGGAATGGAATGACCATGGCGCCACGCTGGGTGCAGTTGCCATATTTGTTCGTAGCGGCTTAAAAGTTAACGCTAAAAAAACTACATTAAAAATATATTAAAATGCTTTGCAAAAAAAGATTAAAATTAAGTTTAAAATTCAAATTTAAGATTTTGCTTTAACTTATTAGGCCAATGAGGTGCGGGCTCACCGGCCGCCGGCGAAGACAAGAGAGTGCTCCACGAGTTCACGGTAGGACGATTTACGTGCGGCCCATTTTTGTTGGGCCGTAACTGGATTGTAACTAGAATGCGGCCCATAATAGTTGGTCCAGGACGGGATTTCGATTACGTGAGGCCCAAATATGGGATTAGTTGAGTAGGGCAAGGGCCCAAGACTTGGCCCAATTGCCACAGGCACCGTCTCGTCGTCTCCGTGGCGACAGCGCCGCCGCTGCTCTGTCGCCGGCGGCCAGCGCAACCGCCGCCTCTTCGGCTCGCCGGCGGCGCGCGGGGACTCGAGGAAGGCCTCTGCGTCGCCGTCACTACTACCCATAGCTCGAGTATGCAACGCGTGGCCATCTCCATCTGCTCTCTATTACTACTATTTTCTTAGCGTGAATCTGAAAATTGAAGCGATATAGTTGCAGACGATGGGGATTCTCAAACTATACATACTAGTTCTGATAGAGACAAATTTGCACATGATTTTCACGAATTTGAGTAGTGACCATCATTCAGAATGCTCAATCTGCACACCTGAGTTGTGGCAGCTAGATTCTTGTCTTCAACTCTGTTCATAGAGTTGGAAAATTAATATGCCTTGAAGAGATCTTAGCCTTTTTAGTACCATCTGATCTAATAGCACACCATAAGCAAAGAACAGGCCAAATGTGATGCCAAAGATAACCTTGTCACCGAATTGATCTGTGGATGAAGTAGGGCTAGGAAGTGCTCTTGCTGAATTACAGTGGTGACTGAGCATACCACCACATAGCTTTGGATTACCAGTGAAGCTTGAGTTGTCAAATGTATCAAACTGGCCTCCAGTTGGAATAGCCCCTTCCAGGTCGTTGTTGTAAACATTGAATGCAGAAAGGAAGTTTAGCTTGTTCAGTTCTAAAGGGATTGTGCCTGTTAGATTGTTGTTAGACAAGTCTAGCATGACCAGCTTGGTGAGGTTGCAGATTGCTTGTGGGGTCTCCCCAGAGAAGCTATTGAAGCTCAAGTTGAGCATATCGAGTGCCTTCAGCTGACTAATCTCTGGCGGGATCGCACCTGTAAAACCATTTTTGGCTATGTTTATTGTTGTGTGGATATATTGGTATTGTCGGTTTTTGATGAATGGAATGCCGTAAAATCTCATGTTTGGGACACTTACATCCAGATTGGTTCTCTTGTCTGACTTCAGCATTGGAATCTGCGTTAATATTGTTGGAAATTCACCTGTAAGGTTGTTATTGGATATGTCTAGATAGAAGAGGAAGTTGAGGCTGTTGATCCAGGCAGGCACTGATCCGCTTAATTGATTATTGGATAACTGCAGCACCTTCAATTTTGTGAGCTTTGATAGCCAAAGAGAAATTTTTCCATGTAAAGAAGAACCACTTATTTCTAGGTACTGAAGATTTTCAAAACCATCCATTGTTTCATCTGCTAGCAATGTCTCATGGTTGAAGTTCCCTCCAAGAAGTAGAGTTTTTAAGTTGCTAAAGCTCTTGAGGATGTAAAGTGCCTTCGTGATATTCGTAAAATCATTCCAACCAACTGACAGGCAGGAAAGAGACCTCAGTCTGTCCATTCTGTGTGAGAACTCACCATGGAATTTGTTCCACGAAAGTCTCAGTGCAATCAAATTTGTGCAATCATAAATGCTTTCTGGAATTGTACCATTGAAGTTGTTCACGAGAAGATCAATTATCATTAGATTAGATAGGCTGGAAAAGTTGATCTTGCCAAGGTCTCCACTGAGGTAGTTGATCTTGAGGTCGAGGATTTTGAGATTTGTGCAGTTGCCTAAAGTTGATGGCAGCTCCCCATACAAGTAGTTCTCACCCAAATGGAGCTCCTTCAATCTCTTGAGCTGACCTATGGACTTGGGTATGTTTCCACTGAATATATTCTGTTGGAGATCAAGGATAGACAATTTGCTGAGCTTTATAATGTTGGCATCATCAAGTACTCCATTTAGATCATTGTTTGGGAAAGAAAGGTGCTCCAATGATGAAGCATTGAATAGTTCATCTGGGAGTGGACCCTTGAAGTTGTTGCGGCCACCCTTGAGCACTCTAAGCATGGAGCAGTTGCCTATGTCTGAGGGTATGCTGCCACCAAATTGATTGGAAGAGAGGTCAAGTACCCCGAAGGATGGTGAGTTGATGCACAAAGAACTTGGTATCTGTCCTATAAAGCTGTTGTTGCTGGCATTAAGAGCCACCAGATTGTTCATCACCTTACATGTGGTTGTTGGAAATTTCCCTGTAAATAAGTTGCTTGAGATGTTCAGTACCTGAAGAGGCCAGATAGTTGATTGAATGAAGAGCTCTTGCAAAGCTCCACTGAAGTGATTGAAGCTAACATCAAGAACGACGATGCTGCTCGATGACACCAACCCCTCCAATGGAAGTTCACCAGACAGCGAATTGTGTGAAAGATTGAGCTGCAGCAGGCCGGTGAGGCTGCCAAGAGACGGTGAGATCTGCCCTTCAAGGGCCTTAGAAGCGAGCAAAATATCAGCGATCCTCATGTCTGCATTACAGGTGATGCCTTCCCATGTGCAGCAATTTGTGCCGTTCCGCCATGATGCGGAGAGGCCACCGTCTCCTGAGAGGCCAGCAAGGAACTGGAGGAGGACACTCTTCTCCTGGTCTATGCAGGAGTCGGTGGAAGAAGCTAAACACAGCACCGTCAGCAGAGCAAACCCAAGTAAATCTGTGGGTAATTTGCTGCTGCTTCTGCTGCATGGAAACTGGGAAGGTCTCATGATGGATCTTTTTTTTATCAGATTGAGTATAGTCTGGAACTCTGGATAAATCAATATGCAGTAGTGGGCATTATAAGGCCAGAAAAATCTGAAAAGAGCTGCCGTGAAGTCTTTGCTGACTGCAGTTACTGGCTGAGTGGCTGGTCATCACAAAGACAATTCAGAGGTGAATAAGAGCCACCACCTGCAATGCCTTTTTGCTATCAATGGTCCACGGTCAATTGTTCATAGATTGAGCAGACAGTAACAACATGAATCGCCTGCAGTTCTGCAAAACGGTGGCAGAGATGATTACTCAAATGCAGCAGGAAAGTAGGGAAAATTTCAATGGTCTAGACGTGCATATCCTGGAACATATGAACAGGATCTTTCAACTGCCATCAAGGTCAAACTGCACATTTCGACCGTGTGAGGGAGCCTTTCTTTCCTAGCTGCTTCTGGAGGATAAGAAGTTGATAGAAGTATGAAAAGTCCTGGTAGCCTCCTGTTGTCATCTTTACCGGTCTTCAGCCGTCAAGACTCGGGAACAAATATCACCTAAGCTCTTCTCTCACTTTGCTTTTTTCCCCTTGTGTTGATTGAAGGCGTAAAACTGAAGGTGCTAGCAGCAAATTTTGGTACATCGCATCTTGTCAGCAAGCATGCAGCTTGACCGTTTCTTTGCTTTTGCTGTTCTACAACAAAAGATACCTCTTGAAAGGTGTACTTAAGTATTGTTATAGGTATTTAGGTGGAAAGAGTAAAATGATAAATTAGGCCGGAGAGAGAAAATAGTACAACAGTCTTGAAAATAGCATTAGCATCAGTACCGCATCGGTACAACTCCCAGTAGCGATTTTCTCTACTGGCATAAATTACATGATCTTCCTTTATTTATATTGTGTTCCTAGATGAGCATAAAACTTAGTTTGGTTCTCCGTCCCCTCCATCCCCCCCCCCCTCCCCCCCCAAAAAAAAAAGACCAATACTATCTACGAACTTGGACATATATGTATCTAGGTTCGTAGTTAGAAATTCGTTTTTTTTGACAGAGTAGTACCTCATTCAATAATCTTGTCCACTACATTATTTGTGTTCCAAGAGCATCATCAGTAAAGGTATCACCAATATTTGTGTGGTTCTTTGGAGATTTATTCTTTTTGAAGATCATAGTCAGTTAAAATATCATTGATCCTAAGAAGGAGACCCATCCTGAATCAGACTCTTATCGGCACTAATAGATAGCCTTTTTATCACGTAAATGAGTAACCAACTACGTCACTAATCAGTACAAAACTTACCGCCTCCCACTTGTGACCCAAGGCGGCGCTTCTCCCTGTAATATGCATCCATCTTATAGAACACATCAAACTCTAGGTAGGAGATGAAGAAGAAGAAGAACAGGAAAGAACGAGTCACGAGGAAGAAGAACGATAAATGAGAGATTGGTCGGATTGATATCTTTTTTCTCCTTTTTTTGAGAGGAAAACTTCATGTTTCCATTAAACCATGGACGCGGCAGAATCGCCGGCGACCAAACCCTCAACACCCGGAGGTGCACCGTCCCCAAAGAGATCGGTGTTTGGGGGACTGTTACATCCGATCGATGCTATAGCATCAGCTAACTTATTACAATCACGCGGACAAAAGCTAAACTTGCAAGTAAGAAAAGACGAGGCGATAATGTTCTTCGCTTCAAACAGAAGAGTCCCCAACGGCGCAAACTGAAGATCTTCTCCCTTCAGGGCCTGAATAAGCATCATAGAATCAGACTCCAAATGAATGTAAGCCATGCCCAAACTAGTAGCAGCTTTGAGCCCCTTAACTCCCGCCAGCACTTCAGCATGAAAGGCATCCTGGAGCCGTGACGAAAAACCTGCTCCCGCCTGTATTACTTGTGCTTCAGTATCCCTGATCACAAAACCCCAACCTCCCTTTTGTTCCTGTGGCTTGAAGGCTCCATCCACATTAATTTTCAGGACATTTCCGGTAGGTCTAGCCCATTTTCTATTTGATCTAGCTGCTTGACCACTCCCCCGTTGAGGCGCCAAATCCTTAAATTCATCTGCTTGTTTCTGTATGGAGAAAGCCAGGATATTAGCTCCCCTTCTTCCTTCTCCCTCCCTATGTATGTTTCTCTCATTCCACCATGAGTACAGCAGAACAATGGCATGTATCCTTTGTTTTTCTTCCAGCTCCAGTATAGCCTGTAAAACTGCCAAAGCTGACTGCACCGCTGCTAACTTGCATCGTACTTCTTCAAGGTTGAGGTCTCTCCATATGTGTTTGACCTCTTTGCATTTAAAAAAGAAATGGCTCCCGCTAAAGATCAAGCATTTGGTATCAATATCCATTCCCCTTCTCTTGAGAGTCATCTGGAGGGCAATTGTGTCATGCCCCAATCGCCACATGAAGTGTTTCATCTTGTTCGGACAGTTAAGCTTCCAGAGCCTTTTCCATACTTGATCACTTTGTGCACCCCCCGACGAAGATGCAGGTGCACTTCTGCTGTTTCTTCTCTCAATTTCTTTCTGCACTTTGTAGGCAGATTTCATAGAAAAGAGGCCCCTCTTATCATAATGCCACCCCACTACATCATCCCTGTCCACTTGAACCGGAATTGACAGAATGGCCTTGACATCTTCTTCACAGAAAGTTTGCCTCACCAGCATCTCATCCCAATCGCCCGTATAAGGATCTATCAATTCATTTACTCTTGTTAGCATGTTCGTGCCCTTATTAGATACAGTTTTTCTCGTCCAGTCTCTAGGGATCCAAGGATCATCCCAAATGCCGATGGAATTGCCATTGCCCACTCGCCAAATCATGCCAGCCTAAAGAGTCTGCAGCCCTTTTAGTATGCTTGAATGCTTCT